GGTGATGCCATCCAGCCATCTCTCCTTCTGCCCTCAATCTTTCCCAGCATCAGGGACTTTTCCAGTGAGTCAGCTGTTCGCATCAGGTGACCAAAATACTGGAGCTTCAGCTTCAGCTGCAGTCCTTCCAATGAGTATTTAGGGTTGATTTCCCTTAAGATTGACTAGTTTGATCTCCTTGCTGTCTAAGGGACTCTCAGGAGTCTTCTCAGCACTACAGTTCGAAGGTATCAATTCTTTGGTGCTCTTCCTTCTTACGGTCCAGCTCTCACAACCGTACATGACCACTGGGAAGACCATAGCCTTGACCATACAGACCTTTGTCGGTAGAGTAATGTCTTTGCTTTTCAACACACTGTCTAGGTTTGTCTTTTAGAGCCCAAGAAGAGGAAATCTGTCACTACTTACACCTTTTCCCCTTCTATTTGCCATGAAGTAATGGGGCTGGATGCCATGATCTTAGTTTTTTTTAATGTTTAGTTTTAAGCTGGCTCTTTCACTCTCCTCCTTCACCCGTCATCAATATGCTCTTTAGTTCCTCTTCGCTTTCTGCCATCAGAGTGGTATCATCCGCATATCTGAGGTTGTTGATGCTTCTCCTGCCTATCTTAATTCCAGCTTGTAACTCATCCAGCCCAGCATTTCTCACGATGTGCTCAGCATATAGGTTAAATAAACAGGATGACAGCAGACAGCCCTGGTGTACTCCTTTCTCAATCCTGAACAAGTCAGTTGTTCCATACAGGCTCTAACTGTTGCTTCTTGACCCACATACAGGCTTCTTAGGAGAAAGTAAGATGGGTTGGTATTTCCATCTCTTTAAGAGCTTTCCACAGTCTGTTATGATCCACACAGTCGAAGGCTTTAGTATAGTCAATGAAACAGAGGTAGACAGTTTTCTGGAATTCCCTTGCTTTCTCTATGATCCAGCGAATGTTAGCAATTTGACCTCTGGTTCCTCTGCCTTTTCTAAACCCAGCTTGGACTCTGGAACATTCAGTCAGTCAGTTCAGTCACTCAGTCATGTCTGACTCTTTGCAACCCCATGAACCACAGCACGCCAGGCCTCCCTGTCTATCACCAGCTCTTGGGAGTTCACCCAAACCCATATCCATTGAGTCGGTTATGCCATCCAACCATCTCATCCTCTGTCGTCCCCTTCTCCTCCTGCCCTCAGTCTTTCCCAGCATCAGGGTATTTTCAAATGAGTCAGCTCTTCACCTTTTGGCATCACTCTCAAAAGAGTCAACTCTTCACCTTTTGGCATCAGGTGGCCAAAGTATTGGAGTTTCAGCTTCAGCATCAGTCCTTCCAATGAATATTAAAAACTGATTTCCTTTAGGATGGACTGGTTGGAGCTCCTTGCAGTCCAAGGGACTCTCAAGAGTCTTTTCCAACACCACAGTTCAAAACCATCAATTCTTCAGCGTTCAGCTTTCTTTATAGTCCAACTCTCACATCCATACATGACCTCTAGAAAAACCATAGCCTTGATCACACAGACCTTTGTTGACAAAGTAATGTCTCTGCTTTTCAATATGCCATCTAGGTTGGTCATAACTTTCCTTCCAAGGAGTAAGTGTTTTTTAATTTCAGGGCTGCACTCACCATCTGCAGTGATTTTGGAGCCCAGAAAAATAAAGTAAGCCACTGTTTCCCCATCTATTTGCCTGGAACATTACCAAGCTCCAAAAGGAAACCTCTTACCCACTAACAGTCACTCCCTACTCTCCTCTTCTTCTCAACCTCTGGCAACCATTAATCTGCTTTTTATCTCTACCAGTTTGGCCTGTTCTGGAGATTTCATGCGAATGGAATCATAAGTGACTGGTTTCTTTCATACAGCATAATGTTTTCAAGGCTCATCCATTTTATATCATATATCGCCACTTCATTCATTTTTGTTGCCAAGCAATCTTCCGTTATATGGATAGACCACATTTTGTTTCTTCATTCATAAGTCGATGAACATTTGGGGTTTGTTTCCACATTTTGGCTATTATGAATAATGCTGCTATGAATAGTCTCATGTAAATTTTTATGGATACATGTTTTCATTATTCTTGGACATATCCTTAGGAGTGGAAATGCTGAACATATGATAACTCTATGTTTAACATTTTGGGGAATTGAAATTATTTTACAAAGCAATTGTATCATTTTACATTTCCATTGGCAACATGTGAGGGTTCCACTTTCTTCACATCCTTGTCACTACTTGTTATTATCTCTCTTTTTTATTATAGTCATCCTACTAGTGGTGTGAAGTGGTGGTTTTAATTTTTATTTATTTTACGTCTAATGATGTTGCACATCTCTTCATGTACTTGTTGGCTGTTCATATATTTCCATTAGAGAAACATCTATTCAGATTCTTTACCTATTTTTCAATTGGGTTGTCTTTTTATTATTGAGTTATAAGAATTCTTTATATATTCTATATAAAACTTCCTTATCATATGCATGATTTTCAAATACTTTCTCCTGTTCTGTGAGTTCCTCACTTCCTTGATGGTATCCCGTGAAGCACAAATGCTTTTAACTTTGATGAAGTCCAGTTTATCTATTTTTTCTTTTGTCACCTATGCTTTTGGTGTCATATCTAAGAATGTTTTGCCTAATCCACAATAAAAATGATTTATTCTTATATTTCTTTCTAAAGTTTTTTATAGTTTTAGCTCTTAATTTTGAGTCTACGATACATTGGAAATTATTTCTGTATATGGTATGAGGAAGGGATCTAACTTCAGTCTTTTGCATGTGGATGTATAGTTGTCTCAGCACCATTTGTTGAAAAGTCTTCTCTTCATCATTGAACTGCCATGGTACCCTTGTCAAAACTCAATTAATAGTAAATACAGTGATTTATTTCTGAACTCTCAGTTCCTCTCCATTGATCAATATATCTAGTCTTTTGCTGGTACTTCACTACATTGATTACTATCACTTTTTAATAAGTTTTGAAATTGGAAAGTGTATGTCTTCCAGCTTTGTTCTTTTCTGAGATTGTTTTGGCTATTCAAGATACCTTGCATTTACATATGAATTTTAAGATTGGCTCTTAAAATTTGGCATAAATGCCAACTAAGATTTGATAAAAATTTTCTTGTGTTTCTAGATCAATTCAGCATGTGAGAGAGGGTAGGGGATAGTCACAGAGAATGTTACCATCGTTTCAATATAAAGTGTTCTTATCCATGATCATAGGATGTCTTTCCATTTATTTAAGTCAATCAATTTATTGCAATAATGTTTTATAGTGTTTTAAGTATGAGTTTTGTCCCATTTTTTTGTAAATTTATTCCTCAGTGATAGGTGATTTGTTCTTTTGATGTTACTATAGATGGAACTGTTTTCTTAATATGATTTTGGACTGTTTATTGTCATTACTTTTATTTTTAAAGATTTATTTATTTGACTGTGCCAGTTCTTACTTGAGGCTTGCAGAATCTTTGATTTTCGTTGAGGCATGCAGGATCTTTAGTTGCGGTATGGGAGCTCTTAGTTGCATCATTTGAGGTCTAGTTTCCTGACCAAAGGTCAAACCCAGGCCTCTTGCATTGGAACCATAGAATCTTAGCCACTGGATCACTAGGAAAGCCCCTCATTACTTTTAAAATTATTGATATTTGGCTTTACAATATATGATCATTTTTGTAAATGCTCCTATGTGAAAGGAAATATGCATTCTGAAATTATTGGGTACAGTGTTGTCTATATGTCCATTAAATCAAGTTTGTTAAATTTGTAGTTCAAATTTCCTGTAGTCTTAATGCTTTTTTCTGCTTATTTTGTTAACTACTCAATGAAATATATTAAAATATCCAACCATAATTTAGAATTTTTCTATTTCTCATTCTAACTTTGCAATTTTTATGTATTTGTGACCATGTTGTTGGTGTCAATATAACTACACTATGTTTTTGCTTAGTATTTGTATGGTTTATGTCTACCCATCTTCTTACTTTCAACTTTTCTGAATCCTTATATTTCAAATATTTTAAATTCTTAAGTTTTAGATGGTTAGATCACTTCCTTGATGAATTTCACCTAACATGTGAATAAGATATAGTAACCTTCTTAATCAACTGTTCAAAGAACACAGAAAGCAGAAACATTTCTGGTTTGATTTATGAAACTATCTTAATCTTGATACCCAAACTTGAAGAAAACACAATAAAGGAAGATCACTAGCCAGTCTCTCTCATAAACAAATGTGCAAAAATCCTAAACAAAATATTAGCAGTATGAATCTATAGTTTTTATTTTTGTATTACTAATAGCAGTTGTGATATTACTAACATACTTGCGCTTAAATCTACTTTTACTCAATGCCTGTATTTGTATCATCTGTTCACCATTCTGTTTTCTTCCATTCTTGCTTTGCTTTTGGATTTCTATTATTTTTCTTATTAGTTTGGACTTTTTAAAGATTATTTCAGAAATTACAATATAGTCCTTAATTTGTCTTTCTCCAATTTTGTATTGGGCTTTTATCCTCATTCAAGACAGTGCAAGATTCTTGGACTATCTTAATTTTGTTAATCCCCCTTCCCAACATATTGTTTTGTTTTATACACTATATTCCTCTAGAATTACTCATACATTATCATTTCATTTCTTCATATTCTTTTCTGCAGTCCTAAATTGAAAGGGGTCATTGAATGCTAAGCAGGATTAAAATTTTTTCAACTTATTCCTAAAAAATACTTTTAAAATTTTATAATATTGGGAGCAAAGAGGAATTTATAAGTAGGATTTAAAAAAAGACTTATACATTATGAATACAGGAGGAAATAGTGGGACGCATGAAACAAAGTAGAGGAAAGGACTAAAACAATTTCTTCTTATGTCTAAGTAAGTATTTATTATATAAAATGTAATAGAATAGAACTAAAATGTAAGATGATATCAACATTCTAGTTGAGAACAGGAATCATAGGTTGAGAAAGCATAAGGAACAGTCTCATTGTTGTATATGACTGCTTTGTGTCTTACAGTGGATGGGAAAGTTGATCTAAAAAATGTGACACTGAGAATGAAAGACTTTACTGGTGAGTTTCTATGACACTGAGATCATAATGCTTTATAATAAATCATATTTTAGATGCTCTTGTCTAGTAGTCTATTGTTCATATTAATTTTGACATTTACCGAGTTATCATTAAAGATTTCTACCTGAAAACATCCACTTGATCTCTGGTTATCTATGTATTAAAACTAAACCACAGACTTTCTTCTCCTAACAAGTTTTATCTATGGTGGAGTTACTGTATAGGTCTGTCTTTGCCTGCATGTAAATAGTTAAATTTTAGGTAAGCATGTGAAAAAATAAGGCAAAGCTTTGGAAAGTGCAAGATAATGTGTGTGTGTGTGTGTGTGTGTGTGTGTGTGTGTAAACAGTTACATAAGTCAGTATAATATCTCCTCTCGTAATTATTTCTTTTGGCAATTCATTATCCAATCTGATAACTAGATTTCATTCTACATATTATTCCCAACTTGAAGAGAGCCCTCACTATCTCAGTATTATAAGAGCAAATTTACTTTGACTTCTATTGGCATGCTGAATTTCTATATCCCATTTTGCCTTTGCTTTTTAATCACAGATTGGAAATGATGCCATATAAGTTATTATAAATGTATCTTTAAAAATACATACAACATAGGCGAATATTATGTTCTAGTGAACCTCTTTAAAGCATTAAATAATTACTTTCTAAAGTTTTCACCTATTAACACTCTGTCTCTTCAAAGGACAAAAGATTAATGCCAGTGATCTGAAAAATGTTCTTGGAGTCATGGGGATAGAAGTCAATGATAAGGAATGTCTGGAACTGCTAAAATCACTGCCAGTTGATGGTGAGCTGCATTTGGGTTACTGTGACATCCAAAGCATTGAGTTTTATGGTTCTAGTTATGATGTTTATACTTTGAAGTGTCACATGTTCATATTTACCTGCCCCCACCCCACAGCTCTTGCTTTCTTATGAACAGTGTCTCTATTTCTGTATGCCAACTCAAGGACAGAGATCAACTGTCAAAAGAATCCTCTTCCAAAAAATCAGTGTTGAGGAGGTAAGATGTTAGTGATGATTTTGCAAAAGGGGAGGAAGGAGTGGAATTTACATTTTGTCTCTCTCAGTAAGCATCCTGAAGTCCTCAGAAGAAAGTTTCTTTCTTCCTTTAAGTACAAAAGCTCAACATCGTCCCCATATCTTCTCAACAAAGCATCTTCTCAGCAAAGTTCTATGTATCCCTGTAAGTAAATCTTGTACCATCTGCCAAGAAATTAGTGTTTTCTGTATTATTATATAAGTTCAGAAGTTAACAACACCTTCAAGCATGAGCTTTGTAGCAGCCAGTACCAGCAGATGCATCATGAAGAAGAGCCTGAAGAAACCTGAACAGGCTGCAGGTGACAGTCTTCCACCACAAAGCAACATCTCTGCAGAGAGTGCAGAATAATTTGAGTACAAACATGAGTCTGAGGTTGCAATGCCTCCATGTTATTATATTACCTGGCTACAACACTACCCAGTTATGATGAAGGTAAGAGAATCAAGAATGAAGCTACTATCCCTTCAGTTTCTGGAAGAGATGACTTCGATAATGCTGACCAACTTGGTTTAGGCAACAACAGGATTTTCATGTTAACTTTTTTATGCCATTCTTCTTTAAAACTAGATTGGGTATTTCCTGTCTGCTTTCCTGACCACTTCAACTGCAGGGAAGTATGAGGCCATTTCAGGATTTGGCCTCTCTCTAATCAAGCAGATCCTTGTTGTCAGGTTTTCCACCTATTTCCCTGGATATTTTGATGGTCAGAATTGTCTCTGGTGGGTGTTTCTGGTTTTAGGTTTTCTCCTGTTTCTCAGAGGATTTGTTAGTTATGCAAAAGTTTGGAAGATATAAAAACTCAAATTTCTGCAGGACAGAGTTCTCTTTATTTACTGAAGACATTTTCTGGCAAAGGCCTTCCTGCGTTTATGATTCCTCTCTCAAGAAACAAGAGAACATCTGCAGGAAGTGAATCGAGATGCAGAACACAGAGGAATAACCACCTGCTTTTAGAGAAGAAAGTGCTATTGAAAAAGAGAAAATAGGGTGAAGCAAATTACTGCTGTTACTCATTAGGCCACTTACATGTCAAACTTGAGCTTCAGGAAGTAAAGAAAACAGAATGGAAATGTGATAGAAACAAGGAATGAAAAGAATTTAAAATAGAATAGGAAAAGATGGTGAGTTTTAGCTCTGTAGCATATAAACCAGTAGTTGCCGTGGATGTGAAAGAGTAAGTAGATCTACTAATAATAACAGAATTTATTATGATGAGCCAAGTTCTGTCCTCACCACACACAACGATGACACTTTATCCCTATTTTACAGTGGAGGAAACTGAGGCATAGAAAGGGTAAGTAATTTGCCTAAGGCCACAAAGTTAGTCAGAAGCAGAGCAAGAATTTGAACCCAGACTCTTGACCTTTACACCAGACTACCACTCTATACCATAATGCCAACTTTTTTCATTGCTTAACTTCATCATAATTTGAAAGTAGAAATGGATAGATTTATAAAGTCAGTCACAACAAGGAAATTCTGATCCTTAAGTTCTATCTGTGAGTCATTCTCTGTCCTGAACTATGCCTTTTCTTACAGGTGATAAGAAAGTTTTTCAGAATAGACTGCTAGCAGCTTTGAAGTCTTTTAAAGGTGGGTGATAAATGTAATGAGAAAGTAAACAAGACTGAGATTCTCAATCTTTGTATTTACTTTTTCCTAGTTATTAGATCATGATTCCTCTGCCACCTCTTTTATATTGATGCTATAGTTTTGTTTTGTTTTGTTTTTTGAGTGTATGCTGTGTAGGCGTGATCCCAAGGTCATATTCAAAGGCACCAGTCTTAAGTATCTCCACAGTTCTCTTTTTGTGTACTCTTGAGTAGGTCAAGTTAGAGTTCTAGCTTTCATAAGTTAGAGTTCTAGCTTTCATAGAGCTGAAAATAACCATCATAATGCACAGCTATGAACTGTTAGTTTTCCTTTCTTTTTTCAATATAAAAGGTGTCACATTCCCAGTAAATATAAAAATTAAAGAAAAAATCATCACTCATATTGCTACTGCTGAATCATTACCACTCTTTATATTTTAAAGCCCTTGATGTTAAAATAGCAAAAATCTCATATAGTCAAAATCGCTTTGAAATCTCATTAGAAGGCTCCATAAAGACACCAACATTCTAGTCTTGATAAGTTCGGTATAGTCACTTTTTCTTCCAATGATACGGAATAGATTGTTATTCCTATGGTTAAGCAATTAGCTGAAGTGGCTGGCTTGCCTAAGAGCCATAATATACAAAAATATATCTCAAACTAGACTCTCATTGAGTTAAGATGCTCCCAGTATGATAGGCTTAGGGGAATTTAGTCCATCTGATAGAACAGTAAGTTGATGTTCATCCGGAGTTTTCTCTCCGTAAGTGCTTGCTACCCCTGGAATGTCAGGGAGAATCACATGAATTATTTCATTGTTCATTTATACTGGGCATGTGATTTTAATTCATATAAGTTAAATGATTGTTTGATATAATACACCCTATTAAAAAAGCATTTTTTTCCTGTGGTACCCATTTTTTGTAATACCTATAGCTATGTAATTTTCTGTGGAATGAAAATACAATGGTTTACTTCACAATATCTCTTATCATTAGATATTTAAATTCAGTGTACTTTTTTCTTTTTCCACTTATTATAAGTGAGATTATAGTAAACATTTACCTCTCCCCTTTGACATGAGCTTTTTCTGTATTTCTAATGAAATTAGTGGGATAAGAGTTACGGACATTTTAAAGATTTGTGATGGTTATTGCCAAACCACTTTCCAATAAGGTAATTCCGTTTAACACTCTTACCAGCAGCCAGACCTATTGAGAGCTGAGAGCTTGTTTAACTCCTCAGGACAAGAAGTGTTTTTCTTATTGTATCTTTATTGAGTTTTTCTCACATTTATGTCTCTTTCTTAAGGTGGAAAAGTTGATGTCAATAATCTGAATCCAGTTCTGAGGAGCCTGGGGATCAAGCTCAGAAATAAGGAACTTAAAAGTGTAGTGGAAAAGCAACCTATTGATGGTAAGCATTGAATTTCTAAAACTAGACTAATTTGTTTCCCTTGTAGCTCAGTTGGTAAAGAATCTGCCTGCAGTGCAGGAGACCCGGGCTCGATCCCTGGGTTGGGAAGATCCCCTGGAGGAGGAAATGGTAACCCACTCCAGTATCCTTGTCTGGAAAATCTCATGGACAGAGGAGCCTCGTAGGCTGCAGTCCACGGGGTCGCAAAGAGTCTGGCACAACTGAGTGACTAACACACAACACACAAAGACATTTTTAAGAATCATGAAGAATTGGTCTTAAACTAAGAAGAAATCCTGTCTTTTGTCATTTTTATTCATCTGAAATTGTCATCCTGCTCAACTGTCAGTAGTTTTGAGGGGATATTCACAATGGTTTTATCAGCTCAGAGAACAGCTGGGAGAAACAAACTTGGGAGTAGGGATCAATGAATGAATGAATAACAGAGAGAGCCAGAAATGACTGAGAGAAAGATATCCATAATGGGGAATAGTGGAACATCTTTAATATTTCTTCAAGTATATAACAACCACATGTCATCACCATTTAGGGATAGATAAATAAGTTGAAAACATTAAAGGAAAGCTGATTGAGAATAGATGGAAGATTCAAAGCCCCTAGCTTAGAATCAGTGCCAGATGTAAGGTTCACCAAAAAAACAAACAAATAAAAACCCTGACTCTTTATAAATAACATTTTTACCACGCTTGTAAGAAAGCATCTGAAGACCTAAGAACTGGATAATATATTTGTCGTGGTCAGACACTGTGTTTGAAGGACATGGGACAAACACTGTTGTTCTTCTTACTAATAATGAATCAAGCATTCAAATCAGGAAATATAAATTTAAGGTGAACACAAATAATCTAGTAGAATATATAGACTTTCACTGGTGTCTAGGTCACAATTTTTCTAAATTCTGTGTCATTGTCTGAATTTTTATGCCTTGTATTACAGCTGGTGGAAATGTTCCTCTGAAAAAAGTGATGAGTGATATCAAGGCAGTTACAGGCAAGTTAAAAGTTATAAGATTAAAATCCTAACTCCCCTATTCTATCACCCTGCCTTTCCACTTTTTGAGATCAATATATCCTAAATTTTATGTTGCTTATTCTTCTTTTGAAAAATCATAGCTTTATTATCTAGGTGATAATGCAACAGACATAGTATTTTCATTTTGCTTCATTCCACACTATAAAAATGCTCTCATAAATATGCAGTATTCCCTAATCCTAACCCTAATAACATTCTAACCATAAAACAAGTTCTATATTTCATTTTGTATTTAAAGATAATTATGTATTTATGATTTTGTAGTTTATTATTGTAGTTTATTTCTTTTCATTGTTATATAAATGTTCTACTTGCAAATATGCCATAATTTATTTATCCAGTCTCCTGTATATGAATATTTATATTATTAGGCAGGAAAATGAAATTAATTGGAAAGGAAGAAGTAAAATTGTCTCTCTTTGCTGATGAGGTGATCTTATTAATAGATTTGTATATAAGATATATATATATATATATAAAACCACAAAGACTCCACCAAAAACTGTCAGAACCAATAAATTCAGTAAAGTCACATGATATAAAATCAACATATAAAAATCAGTTGCATTTGGAGTTTGATATCACCAAGATGATAAAGTAGGTGACCACACTCTCCATCCCACCATGAAGATCAACAGTTAATTAGATATCCACCAACAGAGCAGTTCTAGGAGAGCTCAGGAGTCCACTTAAGAAACTAAAGCAACCCAGTGGAGTTTAAACCTGAGAATAACTATGTTAAAGGGGTAAGAACAACTTGATATTGCCTCTATCAGCACATCCCCTTGGTGGCACTGTCAGCACATAGAGGGAACTCCCCAGATAGAAAGAGTTCTCCTAGCAGGAAGAGAAGAATGGGGTAAATGACTAGCTTCTCCATCCTTTCAGGAAACTTCACAAAGGACCTGCTTTGAGGACTCCCCCTGGCAGTTCAGTGGTTAAGACTTCAGGCTTCCACTGCATGTTTGATCCCTTGTCGGGAACTAAGATCCCACATGCCACATTGCAAAAACAAATGAACAAAAATCATAGGACTTGCTTTGTTTTTGTTCTACCCAGAGACCCAGAGAGGTACAAAGCTGAGACATACAGAGACAGCTAGGAATAAAGAAGAAGAGTAGGGCTTACCACTAACAGCAACACAACAGGATCAGCTTCAGTCCAGTGCAGAGGACTCCTACTTCCAAACACAGTCACATTACAAGGTACTGAGAATTAGAACATCAACATATAAATACTAAATGGACACAATTTGGTTCATAAAATGAAATATTATTTAGCTTCAAAAAGACATGAGGACTTCTGTGGTGGTCCAGTGGTTAAGAATCTGCCTGCCAATGCAGGGGATGCGTATTCGATCCCTGGTCCAGGAAGATCCCACATACTGCAGAGCAACTAAGCCTGTGCACCACACTATTGAGCCCACATGCCTGGAGCCCATGCTTTGCAACAGAAGAGGCCACCGCAATGGGAAGCCCATGCACCACAGCTAAAGAGTAACCAATGTTCACGGCAACTAGAGAAAGCCCGCACACAGCAATGAAGACCTAGAGCAGCCAAAAAAAATATTTTTTTTTAACTTAAAAAGATGAACACATCTGTTGTATCAATCTCTTCTTAAAAAGAAAAAGAAATTAAGTACTGATATATTTTACAATGTGGATTAACCTCAAAAACATTGTGCTAAGGAGTATAATCCAGACATAAAGGGTCACGTATTATATGATTCCATTAATAGGAAGAGGTAATAGATCCATAGGGTCAGAAAGTAGGTTCATGATTGTTAGGAACTGAAAGGAGGGTACAGTGGGTGATAATTATTTATTGAACATGGGGTTTCCTTTCCAGGCAATAAAAATACCTGAAACTAGAGACAGTTGATTCACAACATTGTGAATGTACTAAGTGCCACTGAATTGCACACTTTAAAATAGTTAATTTTACGTTATGAGAATTTCATCTCAATTAAAAAAAATCAACCAGCCACAAAAGTGGTATACAAAGATAGGAAGATGCACTGGAAACAATCTAGTCTGGTAGGATAAAGTACTTATAATGACATTATTTGAAATGTGAGCCTGAAGTGATAGTAAAAGGTAGATTTACTTTTAATTGGTGTTATTATTATTTCTAAGTTCTCTACAAATAATATACCCACTATGACCTGTTCCCAGTGTGGACCTCTCCTACAGCCCCTATCCTCCCAATATGTCAGTGAAAAATAATGTGTATGATTTCATTTACAAGATTTGAAAAGAAGCAGAGCTAAATGAAAGTGATTAAGCATGCCAATTAGATGATAAATGTATAAAGAAAAGCAAGAAATCATTGTCCAACTCTGTAATGACCTATATGGGAGAATAATTTTAAAAAGAGTGGATATATGTATAACTGATTCACTTTGCCATGCAACAGAAAGTAATAAAACACTGCAAATCAACTATACTCCAATAGAAAGTTTTAAAGTAAGTAAATAGCTCCAAAAATTTTTTTGTATTATAGTTAGTATAGCATAATGCAGTCATTCCCATTAATTTCAAAGACATTGGAATATCTAGAAAAAATACTAAATCATATTTAGTAGCCTCCATTTAAGAAAGTATGGGACTATGTGCTACATAATAGTACTTAACGATCGATCTACTTCAAACCAAGTGTGAGGAAAACAATTAAAGGGGAATAGTTTTAACTCAGTTCTGGAACTTTCATGTTTCCTTCCAAATTAATTTGTAAGTTTAGGTATAGAAATATAATATTATAACTGAAACCCAAACCATCATTTTATTTTTACACAAAAGTTCCTTTGAGTTCATTTTCAGAGACCATCCTAAAAATTTCTCATATACTATACAATTAAAGAAAATGTTTCTCTAAATAGAAATGCCTTCAAATAGTTCATTATTCATGTAAATAAAGTTATCAGTGCTTTGATGTTAAACAAAAAAAAATGAAATCATTGTCCAAAAACTAAGGACATAATTACCTCTTAAGGAATACTGTGAATAGGGTTTGAGAAAGATAGACTTCCAGAGTGCTATCAATGTTTTTCTATTTCTTTACCTAGATGGTAGTTACAAGGGTGTTGTTAACAAGTGTTTGTGTCTAATTGTCCAAAGTCAGTCTCTATTATCGGTATTAATTTCTTTCATTTAGTTCGGTTCAGTTCAGTCGCTCAGTCATGTCTGACTCTTTGCGACCCCATGAACCGCAGCACACCAGGCCTCACTGTCCATCACCAGCTCCTGGAGTCCACCCAAACCCATGTCCATCGAGTCGGTGATGCCATCCAACCATCTCATCCTCTGTCATCCCCTTCTCCTCCTGCCCTCAATCTTTCCCAGCATCAGGGTCTTTTCCAATGAGTCAGCTCTTCGCATGAGGTGGCCAAAGTACTGGAGTTTCAGCTTGAACATCAGTCCTTCCAATGAACACCCAGGACTGAGCTCATTTAGGATGGACTGGTTGGATGTCCTTGCAGTCCAAGGGATTGTCAAGAGTCTTCTCCAACACCAGTTCCAAAGCATCAATTCTTTGGCGCTCAGCTTTCTTTATAGTCCAACTCTCACATCCATACATGACTACTGGAAAAACCATAGCTTTGACTAGATGGACCTTTGTTGGCAAAGTAATGTCTCTGCTTTTTTTTTTTTCATTTTTTTTTCATTAGTAGCAATTCCTATATCTTCTAAAACATTTTCTAATAATAATATACTTCAGATCTTCACCACTGGAAAGTAAAAAATCAATATCAGGAATAAACAAACTACTGCTCATAGACCAAATCTAGCCCTCTGTTTATAAAGAAAGTTTTACTAGAACACAGTCACAGTCTTTTACCTATTATCAATGGCTATTTTAGTGCTACAACAGCAGAATTGAGTAGCTTATATAGTCTCTGTTGCAGCTACTCAATTCTGCTGTAGCTTTAAAATAGCCATTGTGTGAAATGATTAAAAATTAGGATAATGGTCAAACACTTTAGCAATTTTGGGGAAAGCAGAGCAAAATTAGGTTAACTTTCCATTCTAGTTTATAAAGCAACTATCTAAATCCTCAGTTTACTAAGAACTGTGGTTTCTTATTCTCAGTGTTATGAAAGCAGGTCTTTCCTTAGGGCTATAAGTTCTAATTCTCTGCCCACTCTTGACTCCACTAGGCAGATTTTATTGTGCCTTTATCTTTTACCTAGCAGCTGGGGATAGTGATGTATAAACATGAGCAATTTTGTTTCATCTTTAAGTAGTTATATAATTATTAATATTGTCAACTATACTCACCATTTCTGTTTTTGAAGGAGAAAAAATTAATGTAGAAGATCTGAAAAATATTCTGGAAGGTCTCGGGATAGAATTCACACCTAAAGAATACTTGGAGCTGGTGAAAAATCTGCCAGTTGATGGTAAGCATTTCAAACAAGATTAGAACTTTTGAGAAAGGTTAGTCTTAGGTGTTTAAAACAACTTAAAAAATAAACTATATCTACTAGATATCCTAATTTAAAAACCACAGCAAAAATAATGTAAGAAATTTTAGCGTGACTTTGTCCTCCCTTTGGAAAGTGTAATTCTTTCTTTGGGAAACTCTAAATACCAACTCTATTTTCTTGAATCCTGCCATTGGATACAAAAATTCCTTTTATTATATTTGGTTCCACCCTCAGAGCTAAAAGTTAAACTGAGAGATGTAAGGAAGAATGTGAGGATGGGAGAAATAGAAGAGTAGGAGAATGAAGAAAAAAGTCAAAGAAAAGCGAAGGGAAGACATGTTCATGTTCCAGTTAAGGTGTTTGCTGCTAATTATTGCTTCTACAGTCAGACACAGCACTCAGAGTTTTCTCCTGTCCATAGTTTTAAAATCACTGGAGGGCAAAAATCAAAGTTATTTCTAAGACAAATCATTTTAAAGCATTTCTGTGAAATTATACCTTTGTATTGTCTCTCTTCAATTTCTGTATCCCTTTATCTGTGATGTCAATTGTGCCTTTTCTTACAGATGATGGGAATATATATGAAAATAGATTGCTAGATGGTGTGAAATCTTTCAATGGTAAGAAGCATGATGAGAAGAAAGATAAATAAGATTCTTCTGCCTTACATTTGCATTAATATTATTGTCTAATTATTCTCTTGTGGATCTAACCACCTCTCACGTGAACTGATTATTTTTTGTTTTGAGTGTAGGTGCTTTTTTCAAATAGTCTTTCCTGCTTAGTAAACTTTGGCTGTTGTTAAATATATTTGCAAAGCAAATCTAAAGTTTGGTCTATATAGAAAATGTGAAGTAAAGAACTGGCAGTAGTTTTGGGCATTCCATCATTGTAACTCACTGGAGAATGAATTTGTACTTTGTTAAGATTGTCCTCAAGACCATGCAGAAATTACAATTCTAATTCTATTTTGTTCACATTGTGCACTTGAACATTTTTGGATCAGTGATATTTTTGCTGATAATCCTGGTTGTATGGAAATTGAAATTTCTCTATCGGAGAAGTCATTAAATTTCCCTTGTGTTCCCAACTGTTTCCTTAGGTGGGAAGGTTGATGTCAGTAATCTGGAAAATGTTTTGGGAAACATGAAAATCAATTTCCCAGATAACAAGCTCAAAGATTTGTCACAAAACCTACCAGTTGATGGTGAGCATCACAGATGATATTAGACCTTTTAAAGACATTTAGACTTACAAGCTTATGTTTGAAAATTTCTGGCACTAGATCTGTTTTGGTGATAATATCACTTTTTAAATCTTTGAAAAGAGCCCAGTCCCAACATGAGAGACTATTTTGACTTAGTGTGTTTTCAGCATGCAAGATGGTACATGCACTACAGTGAGTTATAGGAGTCAAATCCTTTACTTGAAAGAAGCTGAAGAAGAGCTTATTACCCACAGAGAAGAGGTTGCTAATTTCAGATTAAGTATGTGATTTAAATTTACTTTAAAAATCATGTCACCCAGCTATACATTCCTATTGGAGGGGGTAATTGAGAGAACGTGACTCAAGGCAAACTAGACTCCAGGCAATCGGAGGATCCTCATTGCCTCCCTTGTGCTTAGAACATGCACCATGGCCACTGTTCCCCCAGTGAGAGTTGTGTTCAAGGAAAGAGCCTTGAGAGAGCGATGTGTTGTTGAATCCCATCTGGACAGTATGCATGACTAAACCCAGTTAAAGTCTCTATATAAACTTTTAAGATTCTGGTGGGCAGTGCAGAAATCTACTTGTCTTGTGGTCACCAACGGCAAGCCTCATATGTAAGTTTCCTTGCTTAGAAACCTTTCAGCCACCCATCTGGAGTGGTCTGCTCTTGCTTTGGTCTTCCGCTGCCCTCAGTGTACAGGTGTCTGGTTTCAGATTTTACCTGGGAAGCTCCTTAGGTTTCAAACCAACAGTTCCTTTATACACTTGCAAATTACCAACTTCCTTATCCCTTCCCCTGTGTTTTGGCACGTGCTCACGTTATTCATTCCTGACCTTATCTCTGTCTACATTAAGAACCTTAAACAGCAATATTTTACCTTCCTTTATTTTATCTATTTATTTGTCGCTGTGCTGGGTCTTTGTTGCTGATGGCAGCCTTTCTGTAGTTGCTGTGAGCAGGAGCATCTCTGTTACGGTGCGAGGGCTTCTCATTGCTGTGGCTACTCTTTGAGCACCACAGGCTCTCTAGGGCACCGTCTCAGTAGTTGTGGCTTGCGGGCTCAGTTCCCCATGGCATGTGGGATCTTCCCAGACCAGGGATCAAACTCATATCCCCTGCATTGGGAGTGGATTCTTTATCACTGGACCACCAGGGAAGTACTCTTTTTATTTATTTATTTTTTTAATGGAGGATAATTCTTCACAATGTTCTGTTGGTTTCTGCTGTACAACAGCATGAATCACGCATGTTGTGCTTAGTAGCTTAATCGTGTCTGACTCTTCGTGACCCCATGGGCTGCAGCCCACCAAGCTCCTCTGTCCCTGGGATTCTCCAGGCAAGAATACTGGAGTGGGTTGCCATGCCTTCCTCCAAGGTATCTTCCCAATCCAGGGATCGAACCCATGTCTCCCACATTGTAGGTGGATTCTTTACCATCTGAGCCACCAGGGAAGCCCAAGAATTTTGCAGTGGGTAGCCTGTCCCTTCTCCAAGGGATCTTCCCAACCCAGGAATCAAACCAGGGTCTCCTGCATTGCAGGCAGATTCTTTACCAGCTGAGCTACCAGGGAAGCCCCGATCAAGCATAAGTGTACATATATCTTCTCCCTCTTGAGCCTTCCTCCCTCCCACTTCAGTTTATTAACATTCATATAATGCCCCATTTTAATCCTCTTACCTAACATTTACTGTGCCTACCTTCCCAGAGTCCAGAACTTCTCTGTGTCCATGTCTGTAGAGAATATATTTCTGGTTTTTAGGGAATGGGCAGGGGGGCAAGAGGAGAAGAAGTGATGGTGGAGTGGAATTTGTACAAAATGGGAATAAAGGAAGGGGTAATAACTGGCAGAGGAGGGGAAGGTTGTTAACTTGCCTGTGTGTACTGACTTGCCAGCAATCCTCTTGATGTTCATTCCTACACCTTACCCGATACTCTGTATCTTGAAACTTTTTAGGATTCTTCTTTGTGAATTATGCCGCTTTTCATTAGTGTCCCCTCATAGGCTTTTAGGTTCTAGTTTCCTTAGCTCTGCTGAATTAGTTACCACTCTCCTACTTGCTTTCTAATTTTCAAATGTTTGTGAAATCTCTTGTTCATGAGGATTTTGTCTCCTATGTTGTTGTCTTTTGAGTACATTTATTATTACTTTCCTATCATTTTAGTGAGGTTCTCAGGGAGAGGAGGAAATAAATACTTGTGGGTAGTAAAAGCATTTTGAAAAGCTACCCTAGTTAATTTAATTGATCAAATTTAAATAACTGAATGCAGGCTGAGATTCCCATTTAAAAATTGGACGGTGTAAAGCTTTTTAATCCTCAGGCTAGAGGCACCCTCATTATGTACATAAAGAGCAAAGATAAGCATTTGTAAACCCAGATAGTATTCAACTTTCTTCAATGAATCACATTATCTTTCTATACATAATTAGCTGTTATACCTTTGGTGTTGAATCTGTGAAACCAGAACAGATTTTCCTTACTCTCTCTGATAGGAAAGCTAAGAGAAAGATCAAAAGCTTTTTCTCACCTAGACTTAGTGAAATCAGTAATAAATGAAGGCTCTGTGAGCACAGGAACCATGTCTGTGCTGCTCACTGTTGTGTGTGTGTACTCAGTCGTGTCTGATTCTTTGCAATCCATGGGCTGTTGTGTCCCTCAGTAACTAGCACAATGAGTGCTAGCACAATGAGATCTTTGACACCTGTAAATACTTGTTGAGTGAATAAGAAATAGAATTAACTAGATAATGTGTTAATTTAGCAACTACTCAAGACTCTCAGCAAGAATTTTCAGTTGTGTTAATCAATAGATGTTAGCTGATTGTTATCACCAACATGGAAATTTAATGTAAAATTACATTGTGCTATATGTAGCAGGAGACCCCAAAGCATAAATCTGATAACTAAATATATGGGGAGAATGTACTGGAAACTACCCCAAGGGAAGAATAAGATTCCATAATAATGAATAGTATACTGTTTTTTTTTGGTAAGAAAATACCAATAATGTGCATAGTTTCTAGATTTTTTTTTTCTTGGCCTAAAATGTACTACATCTGCAATTCTGGGAAATTATGCTGATTGAAGAGATAATTCTCATTATGTTCCATTCTACTGTTTAATTTTAAAGTGTTTAATATTACTATGGGCAACCCTAATTTGTCTGGATGGGATACAGAATAAATAGGCATATTTTTTAATTTAAAAACTCTCATAATCTTTGATTATGTAATGAACATTACTACTAGAAAAAAATACAGTAGATTAAGCTAACTTGGGGATGATAGTATGGAATAGTGTTAAGTGGGGAAATAGGTAGACTTAAAGTTCCAAACTGAAAGTTTTTACTCTTGTTGCTGGGATCTGATATTGTAGATTGTGTAAAGTCACAAGAACAAACCTGAGGAGTGAAATTTTCATATGCATGCACTCAGAGACTGAGATACTAAGAGGGAAAAGAGAATAAATAATGAAATTAATGCTTAAATATTTTAATAATCTTTTTGAATCAGTCTACAATTGTGTCTGTCTAAATTGTGTCTTATTTTTTAGTGTTTGGCAAGACTGATCTGCCTAAACTGCTAAAAGAAATAAAGAAAATAACAGGTGAGCAATACATTTTGTGACAAGATATAAAACTAAAATGCAAATACTCCATGTTTACATACAGATGTAAAGCTGTTTTCTTATTTTGCCATTGATTTTTAACTTCTGTTTTTGTAACAATTAAAGTTGACTCTAATGACATGAAGATTATATTGGATTATTTATGTTTTGGCAAAACATATCACTATTTATCTATAACAAGTTCTGTATTCTCTGAAACTTTTATATTTTGTGATTTATTTCAATGGCCAAATCACCTATTCATTCATTCAAAATACTTATCTCACATCTACTGTAACCCAGTAAATGTTAAAGTAGAATTTTGATGGAAATACAAATAATGTGGTCAATGAAAATAATTCATCTTATAATTCAGACAAAGTGAGAGAAACACAAATTCTAACTGATGGTTAATACAATTTAGATTAAGTAGCTGCCTGTACATAACTTAAATCACTTTGCCTCCAATATATCCCTTTGCCATGAGCTGGGTTAACTTCTTTGAGGTCCTTAAGAGCATTAGATATAAGTATTTTGTTTAGAACCAAAGAAATAACTTCCAAAAACTGTAGAAAACCCTGTACAAGCTTTAGACACTTCATTGTTTGGAGTCAGTAAGCAATTCTCACCTGTAACCATTCTCATCTTTTAAAGGAGAAAAACTTGAAGCCAAGGACATACAGAAAACACTAAAAAACCTGGGGATAGAGCTCACAAATAGGGAAATCTGGGAGCTGTTGAAAATGTTGCCATTTGCTGGTAGGTATTTGATGTATGTATCTGTATATGTATCTCTGTGCTTGTATAAACTTCATTGTGAGAACATCATAAAAATGGGCCCTTCTGGTTTTGTATAAAAATCCAAAACACAAAAATACCAATCTTTAGCTGTAAAGAAATTAGGCCTTTAACATTTAGGTTTATCATTTTGAAAAGCTATATTATCAAACCTGAGTCCTGCCATTAAGTGAAATACATCAGAAAAAGAAAGACAAATACCATATGACATCACTAATATGTGGAATCTAAAATATTAACACAAATGAACGTATCTACAAAATAGACTCACAGATATAGAGAGCAGCCTGTGGTTGCCAAGGGTGAGGTGGCAAAGGGGAAAGGATGGATTGGGAGTTTGGGGTTAGCAGAGGCAAACAATTACATACAGAATGGATAAGCAACAAGGTCCTACAGTACAGCACAGGGAAATATATTCAATATCCTGTAATAAGTGATAATGGAGAAGAATATGAAAAAGAATATATATATGTACAATTGAATTGCTTTGCTCTACAGTGGAAATTAGCACAACATTTTAAATCAACTATACTTCAATAAAATAAAATTTTTAAAAAATATTACTCAGAAATGAATGATGCATTAGTAGGGCAATATGAAAGAAAAGTCTAAATTAGAAAGAAGGTGGTGCTTATGGTAAAGAACCCATCTGCCAATGCAGGAGACTCAGGAGGCATGGATTGGATTCCTTGGTCAGAAAGATCCCCTGGAAGAGGGCATAGCAACCCACTCCAGTATTCTTGCCTGGAGAATCCCATGGACAGAGGAGCCTAACAGGCTACAGTCCACAGGGTTGCAAAGAGTCAGACATGACTGAAGTGACTTAGCGTGCACAGAGAAAGAAAAAGGAGAACTCAGAGTGGGGAAAGAGGTGACATCTGTTTCAGTGGAGAATGTGGATGTAGAAAATGTAGGAATATAACTTAAGACACATTTTTAAAGTACGTAATTAAGAAATTATGTTCTTATTACCTTTTTCTTACTGTCCATGTGTCTTATTTTACAGATGATAAAAAGGTAGAGAAAAATGATTTGCTCAGTCACATCAAGACTTTTCCTGGTAAGTGAGAATCACAATAAGAAGGAAAGTAAAACTAAGACTTGCAGATTTTACCTTAATTTTCAAAAGGCTTATCATTCCACAGTAATTAGATCATTGATCTTATTATCCATTAACCTATAGGTCTCCTTTAGATGCAATTACATCTAATGTGATCATTTATAGTTCTCTGATACAACAAGTTTCATATATACATATGCAACTTATAATACATAAAAATAGCATTTGGGGATTAATATATAAATAAAATTGTATATAATTTACATAATGTACAATTAAGTTCCTTCTAAATACACCTTTCTTGAAAACTACAGAAAGGGCCCCTGAAATGAACCACAAATATATTCTTGACTTCCACAGTAAGTCTTTATTGTGGAAAGTGTTGAAGACATTCTACATGTAACCCTAAACAGTTTCTTTTTTTTAGTCATTATGCAAAGGATTATTTCATCTAGTTGCGATTGGTGCATGAATATAACCAGCATTTTTTTAAAATACCAGTTCCTATTTTTTATCACTTCATTCTTTCCTAAGGTGGAAAGTGTCATGTCTCTAAACTGGAAACTATCCTAGAAAACTTGGGTTATAACTTGGAGAATGAGGAAGTTGAGGACCTGAGGAACCACCTGCCAGATGATGGTGAGCATGTAGTCATGGCTTTAGGGAAACTGAGCTCCTCTAATAAATCTTCCAAATGTGTTCATCGGGGAAAATTTATTATCTCAGATAATTAATGTTTAAATCAAAGATCAGTAATCTGTTAAGCAGTGATTCCCACCTGAAGGGCTAAATTTTGATGGCAGTGAGAAAATTGACAGACCTAAGAAGCAAGTAGAGAAATGAAACAGAGGAGCACTTTAAAGAAAAAAAGCCAAAGAAGAAATTTAAAAACCAGTCAGAAAAAAAAAGTAAGAATCTCTTAAATCACCATAAAGTTGCAAGAGAATTCCAGAAAATCATCTACTTCTGCTTCACTGGGGCTTCCCTGGTGGCTCAGGCAGCAAAGAATCCGCCTGCAATGTGGGAGACCCAGGTTTGATCCCTGGGTTGGAAAGATCCTCTGGAGAACGAAACAGCAACCCATTCCAGTATTCTTGTCTGGAAAATCTCATGGGCAGAGGAGTCTGGCAGGCTCCAGTTCATGGGGTAGCAAAGAGTCAGACACGACTGAGTGACTGATACTTTCACTTTTCACTTTCTATTTCATTTACTATACTAAAGCCTTTGACTGTGTGGATCACAACAAACTGTGGAAAATTCAAAGAGATAGGAATACTAGACCACCTCACCTGCCTCCTGAGAAACCTGCAGATCAAGAAGCAACAGTTAGAACCGGATATGGAATGACAGACGGGTTCAAAATTGGGAAAGTGATATGTGAAAGCTGTATACTGTTGCCCTGCTTATTTAACTTATATGCAAAGTACATCATGAGAAATGCCAGGCTGGAGGAAGCACAAGCTGGAATCAAGATTTCCAGGAGAAATATCAATAACCTCAGATCTGTAGATGACACCACCCCCATGGCAGAAAGCAAAGAGGAACAAAAGAACCTCATGGTAAGTGAAAGAGGAGAATGAAAAAGCTGGCTAAAAATCAGCATTGAGAAAACTAAGATCATGGTATCTGGTCCCATCACTTCATGGCAAATAGATGGGGAGAAAAATGGAAACAGTGATAGACTTTATTATGTTTATTTTGGCTCCAAAATCACTGCAGATGGTGACAAAAGCCATGAAATTAAAAGACTCTTGCTCCTTGGAAGAAAAGCTATGATAAACCTAGAGAGCATATTAAAAAGCAGAGAGACTTTGCCAACAAAGGTCCGTAGAGTCAAAGCTATGGTTTTCCCAGTAGTCATGTACAGATGTGCGAGTTGGACCATGATGAAAACTGAGCGCTGAAGAATTGATGCTTTTGAACTGTGATGTTGGAGAAGACTCTTGAGAGTCCCTTGGACTGCAAGGAGATCAAACCAGCCAATGCTAAAGGAAATCAGTCCTGAATATTCATTGGAAGGACTGATGCTAAAGCTGAAGCTCCAGTACTTTGACCACTTGATGCAAAGAGCTGACTCATTGAAAAAGACCCTTATGCTAGGAAAGATTGAAGGCAGGAGAAGGGACAACAGAGGATGAGATGGTTGGATGGCATCACTGACTCAATGAACATAAGTTTGAACAAACTCCGGGAGATGGTGAAGGACAGCGAAGCCTGGCATGCAGTCCATGGAATCACAAAGAGTCGAACACGACTGAACAACTACAAAAGTACACAAATTAGATGAAGGAGTCAGCGAAGATTTTTGGTGGGTGTGGAGTTGGAAACATGAAGAAAGTGCTGTGTAAGGGTTGCATATGGAAGTAGCCAGCTACAATATTTTAGGCAGGTGAACACATTGATATTACAGTTTCTATTGTGTATGAATCCTGTAATATTAATAGTAAGGTGGTCAACCATCATTGTACTCCTAGATTCTAAAGTAGAACAGGCCAAGTGGAAAGTAAGTCAGTCAATGTTTTTAAAACTTCCTATCACCATTGTGTATAGAATTCAATATTTTATACTATAATTTTGTGTTAACTTAATTCTTCAATTCCATGCCCAGCTGGGGTTTATTGATAGAATAACTCAGGGCAAACTTCTGAATTTCAGTGTTTTGTTCCACAATATAAGGTCTTAGTAACATTTTCTGGGTCTAATGAAAAATCTGTGTCTTACTTGTACTTTATCCTACAGATGAAAAGTTTAAACTAAATACTCTCGTGCAAAATGTTGAGTCATTCAAAGGTGAGTGGAAGTTTATACAGAAAAATCATTATAACAATATGTTGATGCTTTTCTGTTTTGCTTTTAAATATTTTATTCCTATCATACTGATATCATTAGTTCTTTTAGTATATTAATGGTATCTTTCATTCTGTGATCCACATTAGTTTGGGGTGTATACTTTTAGCACAACTCTTATTTATCATGTCTTGGTAAAATATCTTGTATTCTCTGAATTTTTTCAATAATGCATATCACTTTTCCATCATTTAAACAGCCAAAAATCTGTTACCACAATAAGTGGCAGAAAAAAACATTGGCATAAATCTTTTTATGAATAACATTACATAGGAACTTCCCTCGTGGCTCAGACAGTCAAGAATCTGCCTACAGTGCAGGAGACCCAGGCTCAATTCCTGGGTCAGGAAAATCCCCTGGAGAAGGGAATGGCTACCACTCTAGTATTCTTGCCTAGAGAATTCCATGAGCAGAAGGGTCTGGTGGGCTACAGTCCATGCGGTTGTCAATAATTGGACATGACTAAGCAGCTAACACCTTTAACTTTTATTTTATCACATGGGCAAATTAAAAGTAATATGAACACTGTCATTACAGACTTATTTCTATAACCATTTATATTAGTTGTTTTAGGCCTCTATACAGCTACCATTTCAGAGTGTCAATTTATCCCATTTTTATTAGTGTATTCAAAAAGTTTTTCTCTCTAGAATTAAGATTAAGTTCTATTTGATATTTCCTTAGTCTTGACTTAGCATTGGCCAACCCTGTTCTTAATCTTGCAATTGAACTTAGATGATGTTCATAATTTAGACTCATTCATCATGCTAAAGTTTTTCATCAGTCATTATTTTCATCTTTTCCCAGGAGCCAAGATTAATGCTGATGAAGTAGGTGGTGTTTTGAAAAACATAGGGATAGAACTCACACCTAAGGAACGCTGGAAGCTACTTAAAACTGTACCACTTACTTGTGAGCATTTATGATACTGTTTTTGTCCTCAGAGGAGCTTAGTGTGAGTGTATTTATTGTTGGGGTAGGTAGGAATCATTAAACATTTATTCAATGTATATTTATATTCAACATGTTTAATGAGCACTTCTTAGGTTATAGGATTAAAGACAAAAGTTCTTGCCTTCATGGAGGCTATTGTCAGAGATAGAGCTTACTCAATTGGAATTGAGCTTGAGAACATCATAAATGAATAAAGATTTTTAAATTGATTTTTTTAAATTTAATTTAGGATTTTAATCTTGAAATGTCTAATAGAGAAATAAGGGGGGAAAAGAGGAAGTCAGGTTTAAAAGGGTCAAATCAGAGAGACTGAAAGTTTCAGCCTAGTAAAGCAAGTTTAGAACTTTCTCTACCCCTTCACTTTATTCTTAAAACCAAGGAAGATAAGGATGTGTGGATGAGAAATTAGATCAATCTAAAAGGCAAATCATGTAACATTATTGTCTTTATAAAATAATCTATTCTTTTCTTATGAATTGCTGTATCACATTTCTGTGTTAACAATAATGACTTCTCTTGTAGATGACAAAAAGTACTATCAAAAACGGTTGCTCCAGGGTTTAAAGACTTTCCAAGGTGAGTGTTAAGAATAATAAGTCAAGTGAAAATGAAGTTTTTGACCTTAGTATTTCCTTTTGGAAGTCCTTTTAATTACTTTATAGTAGTAATAGCTAATTTCTCGAGTGTAGTGTCAAGCACTGTTCTAAATACTTTACATCTACTAACTCATTTAAGCCTCACAGAAATCTGTAAGTTAGCTTCTTTTGGGCTTCCCAGGTAGCTCAGTGGTAAAGAATCCACCAGCTCAGTGGTAAAGAGATGCAGGAAATGCAGATTCAGTCCCTAGGTGGGGAAGATCCCTGCAGGTGGAAATGGCAACCCACTCCAGTATTCTTGCCTGGAGAATCCCATAGACAGAGGAGCCTGGAGGGCTACAGTCCATGGGGTTGCAAAGAGTCAGATCGAATGAGTGACTGAGCACACACACTCTAGGTACTTTTCGTAAGTTAGGTACCATTTTACAGATGAGAGGTGCTAACTCACTTGCCTAAGGTCACTCCATTTGAACTTGGGAGGATCATGATTTGAACCTACATTCTTAACTGCTCTATTGTATTGAACAGTTAGGTTATTAATCTTTTTTATTCCCCTTTATGACTTACAGTTCAAGTTCAGATAACCACTAGGTTATTTCCTGGGAGATAATTTACTATTATAATGACAAGTTTCAAACTTGGTAGCCAGAATTGTGGCTAGCATTTCAGACATGTTTCTCTATTATTGATAATAAATGAATGATGACTAATATGTCTCATTCATTTGCTTTAGATGTCTATGACAGATTTTAGCAGAGTGCCTCGTAACATGTAAAGGAGATGTTTTTTTCTTCACAGTCCCCACCCTATCCCCTGCTACATTGGTTTTCTATTTTCCTTGAACATCTGCACTGCAACTTTGCTTTTCTCCCTCCCATTAGGGTTTCGTGCATAACACTTAACTAAATTATTTTTATTTTAGGCATAATTTTAATCTTTTCTCATTTCATCTCTTAATCAAGGAGGAAATGTTTTAGAAAATAAACTAGGAACCGCTTTGACAAACCTGAACTATGAACTTGAAAATAAAGAATTAAATGATCTACGTAACTATTTGGAAATTGACGGTGAGTAATTTACCACTTGAGACTCCTTTCAGAAGAGCCTTTGAAGTCTTCTTGTAGCATCCCACAGTATACTTGTTCAATTTCATTTAGAAAGTAAGAAATTCTTATAGAGTTATGATTTTCAATGAGGAGAAATATAGCTTCTGATTATTATTAATATTGTCAGAGATACAATAAGGGCATTGGTAGATTAAGATTCAACTAGGAAAAACACTAGAAAGAAACACTTCAGGAAAAAATAGCAGAATCTACCAAAATAGATGTTGAAAAGGGTCAGAGATTGACAAAGTAAGAAGGTAAACAGGATTTGGAATTGTTTGACAGGTAATATACAAAGAGATTATCATTTTTCCATTTAGCAAATACGAGTATCAGGTTGAAATTGTCAGTGATATCTGATTTGAGACCAATAATATGGCAGCAGAGGTATCTTTTAGGTGAAAAAGCTCATTTAGGAAAAGCATTAAAGATCTGATTTAGCATGTTAAAACACCTTCTTTAGAATTCTATAAGATAGTTGAATATTAAAAAAAAACTTTCAAAAATCAACAAAATTTCTCTATGTAATAATGATCTTAGAAAATTTCATGGGAAAAAAATGATCCTAATCCTAATAGCAATAAATATTTTGTCTGTATCTGATTATCCTTTGCATTTCAGATAGTGGAAAAGTTCCTCTGAACTCCTTGATGAACATAGCAAGTTTATTTTCCGGTGAGTGAGAAGTGATGATGAAAAGATATAAAATCAAGATCTTTTGCCATATGTACATGTCATATTTTAATTATATATTCCAATATTCTGAACATTCAGAAAACTAAGATCATGGCATCCAGTCCCATCACTTCATGGCAAATAGATGGGGAAACAATGGAATCAGTGAGAGAATTTATTTTCTTGGGCTCCAAAATCACTGCAGATGGTGATTGCAGCCATGAAATTAAAAGATGCTTACTCCTTGGAAGAAAAGTTATGACCAACCTAGACAGCATATTAAAAAGCAGAGACATTACTTTGCCAACAAAGGTCTCTTCTAGTCAAGGCTATGGTTTTTCCAGTAGTCATGTATGGATGTGAGAGTTGGACTATAAAGAAAGCTGAGCACCGAAGAATTGATGCTTTTGAACTGTGGTGTTGGAGAAGACTCTTGAGAGTCCCTTGGACTGCAAGGACATCCAACCAGTCCATCCTAAAGGAGATCAATCCTGGGTGTTCATTGGAAGGACTGATGTTCAAGCTGAAACTCCAATATTTTGGCCACCTCATGCGAAGAGCTGACTCATTGGAAAAGACCCTGATGCTGGGAAAGATTGAGGGCAGGAGGAGAAGGGGACGACAGAGGATGAGATGGTTGGATGGCATTACCGACACAACGGACATGGGTTTGGGTGGACTCCAGGAGTTGGTGATGGACAGGGAGGCCTGGTGTGCTGCGGTTCATGGGGTTGCAAACAGTCGGACACGACTGAGAGACTGAACTGAACTGAACTGAATATTCTGAAATTACACACATCTCATTTTACCAATATATTGATGTTTGTTTTTAAGTATATATATGTTTTAACTATCTACAGTTTTAGAAGTATCATTTTTTAAAAAGAAGTCTATTTTATTATAAGCTGGCTGGCTTGTCCTCATTGTTTTAAGAGCACTAATTGAACCATTCTTTTGGCAAGGCTTACAGGAAACATCTACTTTAATTCCTTCTTGTGATGCTCTGCAGTTACAAAAGCTTTATTGTATCCTTTCTCCTCTGCAGTTACATCTGTAGCAAGTTAAGATACTGTTGTTTTATTATAATTTTTTAGTTTAGAATTGTTATATATGAAAATGTTCACTTATCATGTCTCCCATCTTTTTAAAGGTCATAAGATTAATGCCAAGGACACAAAACTTTATCTGGAAAATATAGGTATTGAATTAACAAAAAGCGAAAGTGAGAAGCTATTGGACACACTGCCATTGGATGGTAAGCATTTCAGACATTGCAGTGAATTTTGGAGAATCGTAGACTTATGCATTATGTGCATTACATTCTAGAAGTATAATTGTTTGACATCATATTAGAAGTTAAGAGGTGACATTAGCAATGTGGCATGAAATTCATTCCTCCTTTTTATTTTCCCTTTTTAATCAATGAATTAGACATCCACTCATGAACCAAAGTGCCTTTGTGGGCATTTTGGCCCCTAGCACCTCACTCCCAAGGACCCTGGAAGAGTCTTGCCCATTGGACAACCTCTGTCTGGGCTGTAGAACCAACAGAAACAGCAAAACTGCCTAGACCCCTCTCACCACTGTCAAAATTGGGCAAAACTCGGGTGAGTGTTGAGCTATGCAGGCGCACATACAGGAGCATACTTGCAGGAGTCCAGCTTTCCAGAAGGGAAACCCCAGCACATCACTGGATAGAACAAAAAAAAGAAAAGGTTTGTGTTGGTACCTGGCTGCTCCAGCAAGGCAGGACCACCAGAGAAATCCACTATTCCCCACTAGAGCCACTAGTACTAAGCAGGAGCTCTGTGACTCTGGGGAAGGATATTGGGGAAAAGGCAAGAAAGAGTTCCAAAAATTAAAAGAGTTGAGCTCAGGAGGAAGTCTACGCATGAGCTTCTGGGGGTACCACACCCAGGGATCTCTCTACAGGGTTCTCAGGCATCCCCAAGGTCTAAGTGCTAAGCCTCCCCCTACCCGCAGTCTGCTGCCAGCTTCTAGCGCAGTGAAGGAAGATGGTCCCCAGTGGGACCAGCAACCACAGCTTGTGAGCGAGGAAGAAACTACAAGAGCTACAGCATCACCTCCTGGGAAACAGAAGATTTACAGTAGCCGGCCTGGTGAATTTTAAGATTTTTTTAAAAGCTTAAAATTTGGCCACAAGAGGGAAGCCTGCATACCTTCACAAAGACAATGGAAAAAAGATAGTAACACCATAGAACATAATACCCCATTTGAAGGTAACAAGAAAAGTTAAGGAGATATCTCCTACTTCAAATGCAAAGGCAGCAACACGTAACTACAAGGATGATGAAAAATCAAGGGAATATAGCTTTACAAAGAATAATGGTAATTCTCTGGCAGCCAAGCTCAAAACCATGAATATTGCAATCTAATTGATTAAATAATTCAAAATAATTATTTTGAAGAAATTCATACAAAAAAACTCAGACAGAAAATTCAATGACATCAGCAATCAAATATACGAACAAAATAAGCTCTTTACCAAGAGGAAATTATAAAAAAGAACCAAACAAATTCTGGAGCTGAAGAATTCTGTGAATGAGATGAAGAAAGCAGTAGAGAGCGTCGGTTGCAAGGCAAACCAGATGGAGAAAAGGGAAAAATGGCTTGGAGGACAGGAATTTTGAAATAACACAGAAGAGAAGACAGAACAAAGACTTTAAAAGAGCAAAGAAAGCCTATGTGAGCTATGGAAGTCCATCAAAAGACAAATATTAGAATAATCAGGATTCCAGAAGGAGAAAAAAAAGATTTCTTTTTTAAAAGAAATTAAAATTTTCTTTAAAATTTATTTAAAGAAATAAGAGCTGAGAATCTTCCTAAACCTGGAAGAAAGACTTGGACGTACAAGTCCACAAAGCTAATAGATCACTCTGTCATCTCACTGCAAAGAGACTTTCTCCAAGCCACATATTGAAACTATCAGAAATAATGATATTAACTAGACTTATTGTGATGATCTTTTCACAATAGAGTTGACTCTTGAACAATATGAGGGTTATGGGCACCAATTCTCCATGCAGTTGAAAATCTGTGTATAATTTATAATCAGTCCCCCATATATGCAGAGGACTCAATCAACCATGGATCATGTAGTTCTGTAATATTTACTATTGAAAAAAATCCACATGTAGTATCTTTTGATACTGATTTCTAACAATTCCATGGTGATAAGAGAATGGACTCTGAATGATTTCAATACCTTTAGACCGTGAAATTTTTGCACCTTGTTTTATGTCCCTGGATATGTTCCAGTGTATCCTGGTTTTATAGACTATGGGAACTTGAATAGAATTCATATCCTGTTATTGTGTGAAAATTGTGTAAATCTTAATTATGTTGAACTGTTTCATAGTGTTTTTTAGGTCTACTGTATCCTATTCTGTCTATTCATTCTATTAATTTTTGAGAGTTTGATATTGAAACTCCAACTAAAAAATCCTAATTTTTATTTACTTAAAAAATAATTATAAGGTTATAGTGAAATGAAAATGAAAATTAAGGAGTAATAGAGGAGTAATAGAGGACTTTAAAAGAAAGTAAGAGAAAAAAAATAAAGAAAAAAATTTTTTTCCTAATTTAAAAAAATAGTAAAAATATATGAAAATGAAAATGAAAGTAGGGTGGAGAGGAAGGTGGGAGGGGGGAATCAGGATGGGGAAAACATGTAAATCCATGGCTGATTCATGTCAATGTATGACAAAAACCACTACAATATTGTAAAGTAATTAGCCTCCAACTAATAAAAATAAATGGAAGAAAAAAATAATTGTAATATATAGTGGGACTATATGTAACTTTGTTCTATATTTTTCAAGTCTCCTATAAATGTGTTATCATACTTTCACAATTAAAAAAGAAGAAGAAATAAATCCACATTTAAGTGCATCTGTGCAATTCAGGTGCTTCTCAGATAGCTCAGTGGTAAAGAGTCCACCTGCCTATGCAGGTTCAGAAGAAACATGGGTTCAGTCCTTGAGTGGGGAAGATCCCCTGGAGAAGAAAATGGCAACCCACTCTGGTATTCTTGCCTGGAAAATTCCATGGACAGAGGAGCCTGACAGGCTATACAGTCCATGGGGTCGCAAAGAGTCAGATACAGCTGAGCAGCGGAGCTTGCATACATGTGCAATTCAAACCTGTGTTGTTCAATGGTCAGCTGTATATACAAATATCAAATTAGGTTGTACACATAAAGCTAATATAAATTTCTGTCAATTATATCTCATTTTTTTAATGATAAAGAAAAAATCTTAAAGGCAGCAGGAAAAAACTGAAAAGGACCACCCCCACCCCCCGATTAGGCTATCAGTGGATTTCACAGCAGAAACTATAGCCAAGAGAGGGTAGAATGACATATGCAAGTGTTGAAAGAGAAAAGTTTTCAGCCAAGGATACTTTATCTGGTAAAGTTATCCTTCACATACAAAGGAGGAATAAAGGCTTTCCCAGAAAAACTAAAGCTGAGGGAGTCCATCACCACTAAACCTGCCTTGCAAGGAATGCTAACAGGAGTTCTTCAAGCTAAAATGAAAACACACTGCCCAGTGACGTGAAAACACACAAATGTACACAACACACTAAGGTGAAAAATATAGAGTCAGACTTAGAAAACCAGTTCTTCAAAATAGCATGGTGTGTTAAGCCCTGAACTGTAGTAAAAAGGTTAAAAGAAAGCACAGTGAACAATAACTATGCTGCGTTTGTGCTTAGTTGCTCAGTCATGTCCAGCTCTTTGCAACCCCGTGGACTGTAGCCCACCAGGCTCCTCTGTCCATGGGGATTCTCCAGGCAAGAATACTAGAGTGGGCTGTCATACCCTCCCCCAGGGGATCCTCCCAACCCAAGGATGGAAGCCAGGTCTTCCACATTGCAGGCAGATTCTTTACCATCTGAGCCATCAGGGAAGCTCCCCCAAAGTAACTATAGCTACTATAAATTGTTAACAAATATACATATTTTAAAGGAGAGAGATTATGACATCAATAATGTAAAAGAGAGAATGAAATGTAAAAGATGGCAGTCTTTGCAGGCAATCAGAGGTAAGTTGCTGAGAGTCAAAAATGAACTGTTATCTATAAAATGTTTTATGAAAGTCTCATGGTAACCACAAAGCAAAAACCTAGAGTAGACCCATGAAAGACAGCCAAAGGGGAAACAGAGCATATCACTTAAATAACCTATTTTAAAAGGTAGGCAGAAACAGAGGGGGGGAAATGGACTGCAAAATAGCCAGAAAACAAATGAATAAGATGGTATTAGTAAATCCTTACATATCAATAATTACTCTAAATGTAAATGGATTGAATTCACCATTAAGAGGCAAAGTGTAGCTGAATGGATTAAAAACAAGATCCAACTATTTGTTGCCTACAAGAGGCTCATTTCAGCTTTAAGGACACACATAGACTCAAAGTAAAGAAATGTAAAAAGATATTCCATGCAAATAGAAACCAAAAGAAAGTGGAGGTAGCCATACTTGCATCAGACAAAATAAACTTTAAGCCAAAACTGATAACAAGAGACAAAGGAAGTCATGATGCATAATTGAGGTAAATTCATTAAGAAGATATAACAATCAGCAATATGTAATCATCAAGCATCAGAGCACTGAAATATATTAACCAAATACCAAGAGATCTGAAAAGAGAAACAGACAGTAATACTACTAATATATTTTGGGACTTGAATGCCTTACTTTAAACGATGGGTAGATATCCAGAGTGATGATCATCCAGAGTGAAAACCAAAAAGGAAACAATGGATTTGAACCATACTTTAGACCAAATGGGCCTAACAGACATCTGTGGAACATTCTATCAAATAACAGCAGAATACACATTCTTCTTAAGTGCATATGGAACATTCTCAAAGTTAAATTATATGATTGAACTCAAAACAATTCTTAAAATTTAAGACGATTTTGATTATAGCAAATGCACTGTATAAACACTATGATAGGAAACTAAAAAGCAACAACATGAGGAGGTGGAAAATCTACAAATATGTAGAAACTAAACAACATATTCTTGGGTCAAGGAAGAAATAAAAGGGAAATCAAATAATATATTGAAATAAGTGAAAATGGAAACACTATATACTAAAACCTTTTGTTAGGGAAGTTTAGAGTGATAGATGCATGTAATAAGAAATTATAAAGATCACAAATAAGCAGCCTAGATTCACACCTCAAGAAACTAGGGGAAAAAAATAACAAATTAAGCAGAAAGTTAACAAAAGGGAGAAAATAAGAGAGATCACAGTGAAAAACTGAAATGGAGACCATAAAAACAATAAAAAAGATTAATGAAATGGAGTTGGATTTTCAAAAGATAAACAAAAATCAGTAAAACTTTAGCAAATCTAAAAAAAATTGAAAGGCATAAAAAAGAAATGAAAAAAGAGAAATTACAACTGATACTACAGAAATACATAGGATCATGAGAAACTACCAGAAGCAAATTATATGCAACAAATTAGATACCCTAGAAGAAATGGATAACTTCTTAGACTCATACGACTAACCAAGACTGAATCAAGAAGAAATATTGAATAGAAAATCCAAACAGACTAATAGCAAGTAAAACTATTGAATCAGTAGTGAGAAAACTTTTCAAAAAAGAAAACCACAAGACTGGATTTGCTAGTGAACCACAATTCACTAGCAAATTCTGCAAAATGCTTAAAGAAGAATTAACACCAATCCTTCTCAAATGCTGCCTGAAAAATTGAAGAGGAAGGAAGACAAAAAGTCATCCTACAAGGCCAGCATCATGATAACAAAGCCATATAAAGACATTACAATAAAATAAAACTATAGGCCAATATCCCTGATGAATATGCTAGAGCAATCAGGTGGGACAAGGAAATAAAAGGCATCCAAATAAGATAGAATAAAATTGTTATTTATAGGTAATATGATTTTTTATATATATATACAGTTGGCCTTGAACAACATGGCAGTTAGGAACACCCGCAGTTGAAAAATCTAATTTTACAGGTGGTCATCTAAATCCACAGTTCCAGTCCTCAGTTTTAACCAACTGTGGATCATGTAGTATTGTAGTAGATGTGTGTTGCTGTCTTATTGTTGTTCAGTCGCTAAGTCATGTCTGAATCTTTGTGACCCCCATAGACTGTTGCCCACTAGCCTCCTCCCAGTCTGTGAGATTTCCCAGGCAAGAATACTGGAGAAGAATACATGGAGAAGATCCTTCTCCATGGGATCTTCCTGACCCAGGAACAAACCCACGTCTCCTGCATTGACAAGCAGATTCTTTACACCGAGCCAGTAGGGAAGCACTAGTTTAAAAGCAAAATTCACATGTAAGTGGACCCATGCAGTTCAAACTTGTGTTTTTCAAGTATCCAGTGTACTGAAAATCCCAACTAAATCTCAACTAAATGACTGTTGAATTTAATCAGTGAATTCAGTGAAGTTGCAGGATATAAAATCAATACAGAGAAATCAATTGCACTTCTAAATACTAACAGCAAAACATCTGGAAAAGAAGTAAAGAGAACTATCCCACTCATGATAGCATCAGAAACAATAAAATACTTAAGAATAAATTTATCCAAGATCATGAAAATTTTGTTCAATACTGCAAGACCTCATTGAAAGAAATCAAAGAAGATGTAAACAAATGGAAAGACATCCTGTGTTCATGGATTGAAAGTTAATATTGTTATACATTCCATGCTACGCAAAGCCATCTATAGATTAAATGTAATTCCCACCAAAATTCCATTTAAATTGAAATTTCTATTCCACAGAAATAGAAAAAAAGTTCTAAATATTATATGGAACTACAGAAGACCTCAAATAGCCAAAGCAATCATAAGAGAGAAAAACATAATTGGAGACATCACACTTCCTGACCACTAGCTATACCACAAAGCTAAGGTAATTAAAGCAGTATGGTACTGGCATAAAAATAGACATATATACGAAACAGGATAGAGAGCCTAATACTAAACTTTTGTGTATATATTCAACTAATATTTAATTAGAGAGCCAAGAACATCAAATGGGGAAAGGATTGTCTCATCAACAAATGATGTTGGGAAAACTGGATAACCACATACAGAAGAATTAAATTGGACCTCCACCTTACACACTTCACAGAATTAAATTGAGATGGGTCAAATAATGAAATATTAAAACCTAATACCATAAAATTCATAGAAGAAAACCTAGGGAGGAAGTTCCTCAATGTTGGTCCTGGCAAGGATTTTTTTGGATATGACACCAAAAGCACAAACAACAAAAGAAAAGCTCAGCAAATGGGGCTACATCAGATTTAAAAGTTTCTGCACTGAAAGAGAAGCAATCAACAAAATGAGAAAAGGCAGCCTGTGAAATGGGAGAAAATGTTTGCAAACCATGTATCAGATAGGGGTTAATATCCAAAATACATAAACAGTTCATACAGCTCAATAACAAAAAAGAAATCCAACTTAAAAGTGGGCAGAGAATCTGATTAGACAGTTTTCCAAAGAGGACATACAGATGGCCAACAGGTACATGAAAAAGTGGTAATCACTAATCAGGAAAATGCAAATCAAATCCACAATGAGATATTATCTCACACCTGTAAGAATGGCTTATATCAAGAAGACAAGAGACAACAAGTATGCTCAAAGATGTAGAGAAAGGGAATCCTGTACACTGTTGGTGGGATTATAAACTGGTTCAGCCACTATGGATACCAATATGAAGTTCCTCAACAAAGTAAAAATAGAACTATCATATGATTCAGCAACCCCACTTCTGGGTATATATCCAAAGGAAATGAAAACTGGTTATCAAAGAGATGTAAATGCACTGCCATGCTTACTGCAGCATTATTCGCAATATCTCAAATATGGCAACAACTTAAGTGGTCATCAGTGAATAAATGTATAAAGGAAATATAGTATATTATATACAATGGAGAACTATTCAGTCATGAGTAAAGAGGAAATCTTGCCATTTGCAACAACACAGACTCTGAAGATATTATGCTAAGTGAGATTAAGTCTGAGAAATGCAAAGATGGGATGATGGTCTCTTCTATGTGAAATCTTTAGAAAAACTAACTCAAAAAAAGAGCAAGTAGAATGGTGGTTACCAGAGGCTGGTTGGGGGGAAGGATGAGAGAGATATTATTTAAGGATACATACTTGAAACCAGTAGATAAATAAGTCCTGGAGATCTAATACAGAGTATAGTGATTATAGACAACAAAACTATTATAAAAAAGATCTTAATTGTCCCCAGCACAAGAAGAAATGATAACTATGTGAAATGACAGAGGTGTTAGCTAATGATACAATGGCCCTCATATTGCAATATGAATGTATCATATCAATATGTTTCATGCCTTAAACTTACACAATGCCCTGTTTCATTTATATCTCATTTCTTAATTAAGAGAAAAATTAATGTCAAAAGTACCAATTCTGATATATAATATTCAGTTCTTCCCATTTAAATCCTTACTTGGAATGGAATGCTGTTTTGTGGGATACTGCTGTTACAGAAAAATAGCTTTAAATGTTGGAACCAACATCTATAACAACTCTAAAACTAAAAGTAGGGAAAGGTGGTAATCAGAAGAGTTGAGGAAAGGAAGGAAGGTATACTGTAGAAAAAAAAAGAAAAGAAAAAATATCTGTTTTATAAACATATAAAAAAGTACATCACTAAAAGTACATCAGATGCCAGAGAATGTATAGTTAACCTTGAGAATCGTATTCATTTCTTTGTTTCCTTCTTGGGATTTTAACTAATTAAAAGTATATAAAAATTTGTAAACAATTAAATAATACTTTTTGAGCTGCCACTTATTTATGAACTAAATTGACTCTTATCTTACAGAAAATCAAATGGTGTATAAAAACAGGTTGATGGATGGAGTGAAGAAATACAGAGGTGAGTGAGAAGACTGCCAAGAAAGAAAAAATAGATCTTCAAGCTTTTGCATTTACTTTCCTACAATCTCTTTTATTTCTCACTGATTGGCTTGCTAATTGTATTAGTCTAGTTTTTTAATGAGCTAACATTCTTAGTTGTACACAATCTAAAGAAATAGCTACATTATTTTGTCAGTGTGGCAAAGTTTGAATTTTACTAAATGGTAATAATATGTGCATTGTCTCTGCTATAATTCGTTAGTCTTAGTACTCACCTCTTTCTTCTAGGTAAATTCACCTTGTAAACTGCTGTAACAGTGTTTCCTGGAACACTGAAAAGAATTTTTCTATTTCTAATTCCTCAACTAATTCTTTTTAATCACTTAAAGAGTTTTATGGTGTCATTGCTTTTTGCTTCCATTTATGTTGATTGATTGATATGACCAGGCATTTTTTTCCCCTTTAGCATAATCACAAATTTCTTTTATTCTTATCCCTTTTTTTCATAAGGAGGAAAGGTTAATATCAATAAAATAGATGATGCTCTTGAGAACATGGGATTCCCACTTGATGAGGAAGACATTGAGGAACTATGCAGTCACCTGCCAATTGATGGTAAGCACTTCAAGTACCCAGTGCCCTGTAAAAAAAATTTTTTATTTCTCTGTAGAAATATATGAAGTATACTTGTTAATTTCTTGGAAAAAGCCAGAAGCATATAGAGAGCAAATCCTAAAAATCAGAGATATATTGTTTTAAAAAAAAAGTTTATTTATTTGGCTGTGCTGGGTCTTAGTTGTAGCGGGCAGGATCTTTAGTTATGGCATGCAGGATTTAGTCCTGACCAGGAATGGAATCTCAGACCCCCTGCATTGGGAGCTCAGAGTCTCAGGCACTAGACCATCAGGGAAGTCCCAGCAGTGCTGTTTTTAAAACAAGAAACTAATCTTGTTGTTTCTCCTGCCTTAATTTCTCCAGGAAATGTCTTTCAACTGTAAGATAAATAAGATCAGTGGATGTAATGTAAAACATGGTAACTGTTGTTGATAACAGAGTATTGCTTAATTGAAATTTGCTAAGAGAATAGAATTAAATGTTCTCACCAAAGACAGATAGATAGATAGATAGATAGATAGATAGATAGATAGTTACTAATAGATGGATAGATTATGTAGTGAGAGATATTAATTAACTAGATGGGGGCAACTTTTCACAATAATCACGGTGTACAGTTTTAATATCTTACAATTTTGTCAGCTATAAAGCTGAAATAGAAAACAAGAAAAAACTAGGAAAGAAGTTTTTTTCTCTCCCAGTCTAATGAGTGAGGAGTACAAAAAGTAAAAGGTGAATAAATGGAATCAATGTTTTCGTCATACTTAGAGTCTTTTTTTCCCCAAGCTTATGCTTTTATAGAGTTTCTCAGGTGGCACTAGTGGTAAAGAACTCATTTGCCAATGCAGGAGACATAAGAGACTTGGGTTCAATCCCTGGGTTGGAAAGATCCCCTGGAGGAGGTCATGGCAACTCACTCCAGTATTCTTACTGGGAAAATGCCACAGGCAAAGGAGCCTTGCTGGCTACAGTCCATAGGAATGCAAAGAGTCAAATAAAACATCTAACTAGAAGCAAAAAAAAAAACTCTCGGCAACTGCAAAATTCTTACATTTTACACAGTTTAAGAATTTTATATAATTGAGACCTGTATTAGTCTGCTCAGGCTGCCATAACAAAATACCATAGTCTGTGTGACTTAAGAGAAATTTATTTTCTCTAAGTTTTGGATGCAGGGAAATCCAAGATCACCACACCATTTGATTTTGTTTCTGGTGAAGGTTTTCTTCCTAGCTTACAGACAGCCGCCTTCTCACTGTGTCTTCACACAGCAGGGTGGAGAGAAAAAAAATCTTCCTCTTATAAGGCCACAGTCCTATTGGATTAGGGCTTCACCCTTACAACCTCATTTAACCTTAATTACCTCCTAAAGACTTTATTTCCAAATACAGTCACATTGGGGAATAGGGCTTCAACGTATGAAATTAAGGGGACATAATTTAGGTCATAGCAGGATTATATCTAAATTTTGTTTTATTTTGTAGTTGAGAGGAAAGTTAAACTGGATAGACTTCTAGATGAAGTACAAGAACTTCTAGGTGAGTGAGAAGAAATAATAAGGAATAATTTTTTAAAACTCAATACTTAACAAAAGAAGTTATTTTTAAAGTATTTTCTGTTAGCCTGTCCATGACATATTAATCCTGCTACTATATCTGTTTTAATTGGTAATGTGTACATAACTGAAAAGACAGCTTTATAAGCTAAATGTTATTCATTATTATAATTAATTGTTACCTACTTCTTATTTTAAAGGCTACAGTATAATGCCTCAATAATAAACCCTTTATGATTTGGTATTTCTCAATAATATTATTATTTTCCTGCTGTTGTAAAAGCAAAATGGCAAGGCAAATTACACATGTAGGTAATATGACCACTGAGAAGAAGCTCATAATTCAGGCAAAAATAAAACAATAGAGCAAATATTACATGCTGGCAGAATTATTTGCACCAGAAAATTTAATGAGCTGTTACAGAAAAACCGATTTTCTGTGTGTTGTGTTTGTTACTTGTTCCCAACATTGAAGAACTCCATTTTACCAGAAAGAAACTATTTCTGAATCCCCCTTCTAATTCTAAGTAATTAAACAATACTTAATATTTCTATTGCTTTTTATCCTATATTTGTGGATGATGCTACACAAACAGTTGATATCAGTAGTCGTAGTGGTAGTAGTATTGGTGTTATTTGTATTTTTATTACTATTATTGTTATTTAAAGCTTGACCTTTTATCATTGTTCTGTTTTTTAAGGGGAGGTACTCGACCATAAGGATCTGGGAAATCTTCTGAAAGACATAGGGTTAAGAAACCAACTGAAGGAGAATTCTGTGTTGAGGAAAATTTTGCCACTTGATGGTGAGCATTTAATTTACCAATGAAGTACTCATACATTCAGTGAAAGTGAATTGGTACCATTGGGTACCAATTAGGTACCAGATATTATAATAGGCTCTGAGTCACAGAGATGAATAAAACAAAGTCCAGCTCCTAAAAGTACTCAAGGTAGAGACAGCACATGCTCCCTCCACACCCCCAAAAAAAGAAAAGAAACAAATAGTATAAACAAAGGTAAGTGCTCTATGTTCATAAGTATGTACTGCTGTAGAAGTACAAAGGAAATTTTGAACAACTATTCTTGGAGACTCTTCACAGTGTGTATATCAATTCAAACAGTGCTGTAAGCTTTGACAGTAGAAGGTAACAAAATCTAAAAGTGTTGAAAAGGACAAAGAGGCACAACTGACCATGTAAAATCCCATATTGATATAGTTTAGAAAACACAGTGTATTCACATTATGTGGATAAATACTTTGTTAATTTGGCTAACTCAAATCAATAATTCAGATATAATCCATCTGTACAATGATGATGGTAAAGATAAAATGATGGATATGAAAATATGAAAGTGCTTTAAAATATTTAAAAGAAACATGTATATTTTCTAGGGTGAAACAGATCACCAGCCCAGGTTGGGTGCATGAGACAAGTGCTCGGGACTGGTGCATTGGGAAGACCCAGAGGGATCGGGTGGAGAGGGAGGTGGGAGGGGGGACCGGGATGGGGAATACATGTAAATCCATGGCTAATTCATTTCAATGTATGACAATAACCACTGCAATGATGTAAAGTAATTAGCCTCCAACTAATAAAAATAAATGGAAAAAAATAATAATAAATAAAATATATAATAAATATCTTAGTTATTAGATTTTTAATTAGTGAAATGCAAATCAAAACTACAGAGAAGTACCACCTGACACGGGTCAGAATGACCATCATTAAACGTCTACAAATAACAAATGCTGAGAGGATGTAAAGAAAAGGGAACCCTCCTACACTGTTGGTGGGAATGTCAGTTGGTGCAGCTACTGTGGACAACACTATGGAGGTTCCTTAAACAACTGAAAATAGAATTTTGCTATATGATCCTACAATCCTGCTCCTGGGCATATAATTCAGAAAAGATGAAGACTCTAATTCGAAAAGATAGAGGCACCACAATGTTCATAGCAGCACTATTTATTACAACAGCCAAGGCATGGAAGCAGGCTAAATGTCCATTGAGAGGTGAATGGATAAAGAAGATGTAGTGTATATATATATACACACACATATATATACAATAGAATATTATTCAACCATAAAAAGGAATGAAATAATGCCATTTGCAGCAACATGATAGGAACTAGAGATTATCATACTGAGTAAAGTAAGTCAGACAGAGGACCAATCATATCACTTATATATAGAATATTTTAAAATTATGCATATGAACATATTTACAAAGCAGAAATAGACTCACAGACATAGAGAGCAAACTTGTGGTTACCAAGGGGAAAGGGAAAGGAAAGGATAAAATGGAAATTTGGGATTAAGAGATACACACTGCTATATATAAAATATATAAACAGCAAGGACCTACTGTATAGCACAGGGAACTATATTTAACACATTGTAATAACCTATAAAGGAAAAAATCTGGGAAGAATATGTAAGTATATATGTATGCAAACTGAATCACTTTGCTGTACACCTGAAACATAAAGCAATTATATGTCAATTTGAAAAATAATAAAATAAAATATTTTGCTGAAACAAGTATAAAAAAGAGTGAAATTAAGAGAATTTCCAGGAAAATGATAAAGGAAAATCTCAACATAACAGCTGTGCATCGAGACTAGAGAGAGTATAAAGTAGATGACTAAAGAGAACCTACAGAATTGTTCAGGGATCTCTGCTCAGTGCTTTGTGATGACCTGAATTGGAAGGAGGAAATCCAGAAAGAGAAGATCTATGTATATGTAAAGTTGACTCACTTTGCTGCACAACGGAATCTAACACAGCATGGTAAAGCAGATATACTCCAACAAAAATTAATTTTTAAAAAAGATGAGAGGGGAGGAGCCAAGATGGCGGAGGAATAGGACGGGGAGACCACTTTCTCTCCTACAAATTCATCGAAAGAACATTTGAACGCTGAGCAAATTTCACAAAACAACTTCTGATCGCTAGCAGAGGACATCAGGCGCCCAGAAAAGCAGCCCATTGTCTTCGAAGGGAGGTAGGACAAAATATAAAAGATAAAAAGGGAGTCAAAAGAGCTACGGATGGAGACCCGTCCCGGGAAGGGAGTCTTAATAGAGGAAGTTTCCAATCACCAGGAAACTCTCTCACTGGCGGGACTGGGGGAAGTTTTCGGCATTCTAACTAGGAGGAAAAATTAAACAAGTCCCACAGATTACGTGCCTAAAAGCAACTCCCAGTAGAAAAGTACCCCAGACGCCCGTACCCGCCAGCAACAAGCGGGGTGGAACGGAGAGGAGCGGGCGGCATTGCTTAGGGTAAGGACTGGCCCGAACACACTGCCGGCGGTTCGCAAAACAAAGGGACTGAGAAAGTCCAGAGAAGAGCCGGCCCATCCCCGCTGGAGGTAGGAGGCAGAGGGGAAGGGAAAAGGGCAAACTCAGCCCCTGAGAAGCCACCCCCTCCCACACTGCAAACAGGCCCCCGGTTCCTATCTAAAGACTTCCTGAGACCCGACTGGCGGCGCGCGCTGGGGCCGCGGAGGGAAAAAGCGCGCCGTACCCGGGGAGAGTGCGCCCAAGCCTCTGGCTGCCTGGGCCGCTCGCCAAGGAGGGAAAAGGCATGTTGCACCCGGGGAGAGTACGCCCAAGCCTCTGGCTGCCTGAACCGCTCAGGTCGGGGAAGGCACAAAACACAGGTGCAACCGAATCTGTGCTTTTGTGGAGTACCCGAAAACTGGAACCGCACTCAACGCAGGGCCCGCTCCATATAGAGCAGCCGGGAGCCTGAGCAGTGTAGACGGCGAAAGCACTGACACCCGTGAGCGGGGCAAACCCAGTGTGGCCGGAACACGGTGAGTGCTATCCACACAGAGCGGTATCTGTCTGCAGCGCCCCGCCCTCCCCGTAGCAGGACTGAACTGAACTAGCGAACCTAAATAAGAGATCACCTCCGCCCGCCTGTGTCAGGGCGGAAATTAGACACCAAAGAGATGGCAAACAGAAGCCAAATAAACAAAGGGAACCGCTTCAGAAAGGACCGGTGCAACAGATTAAAATCCCTGAAGGTAACACCGACTACACCGGAAGGGGCCTACAGATATCGAGAAGTGTAAGCTGGAAAGAGGACCTATCTGAAATTGAACTGAACCTACGCTGTCCGCAACAACTCCAGAGAAATTCCTAGATATAGATGTATATATATTTTTTTTTAATTAAAAAAAAACTTTTTTTCTTTCTTTTTTTTATTTTTTATTTTTTCTCTTTTATTTTCTTTTAAAATTCCCTATTACTCCCCCATTACTCCTCAACTTTCATTTTCATATATTTTCACAATTTTTTTAATTAGGGAAAAAAATTTTTTTTTCTTTTTTTTTCTTTTTCTTGTTTTTCTCTCCTATTTCCTTTTAAAGTCCTCTAATATTCCTCTGTTACTCCTTAATTTTCATTTTCATTTCACTATAACCTTGCCAAAAAAAAAAAAGAGAGAGAGAGAGAAACCCTATTTTTAAACCGAACTTCATATACAGTTCTAAATTTTGTTTTTGTTTTTGTTTTTAAATATTGTATTTCAAAGAGTCTAACCTCTACACTAGATTTTTAATCTTTGTTTTTCAGTAGTAGGTGATATAAATTTTGGTCATTTAAGAATCCAATATTCAGTTCCCATTTCTATTCAGGAGTGTGGTGATTACTCTCCACTTTTGACTCTCTGTTTTCTACCTCAGAACACCTCTATTTCCTCCTTTCCCCTTCTCTTCCCAATCCAACTCTCTGAATCTTTGTGGGTGTCTGGGCTACGGAGAACACTTTGGGAACAGATAACTGCGTAGATCTGTTTCTCTCCCTTGAGTCCCCTTTTTCTCCTCCTGCTCACCTCTATCTCCTTCCTCCCTCTCCTATTCTTCATGTAACTCTGTGAACCTCTCTGGTTGTCTCTCACGGTGGAGAATCTTTTCGCCATTAACCTAGAAGTTTTATTATCAGTGCTGTATAGTTGGAGAAGTCTTGAGACTATTGGAAGAATAAAACTGAAATCCAGAGGCAGGAGACTTAAGCTCAAATCCTGAGAAAACCAGAAAACTCCTGACTACACGGAACATTAAGGAATAAGAGACCACCCAAAAGCTTCCATACCTACACCAAAACCAACCACCACCCAAGAGCCAATAAGCTCCAGTACAAGTCATACCACGCAAATTCTTTAGCAACGCAGGAACATAGACCTGAGTGTCAACATACAGGCTCTCCAAAGTCACACCTAACACAGAGACCCATCGCAAAACTCATTACTGGACACTCCATTGCACTCCAGAGAGAAGAAATCCAATTCCACGCACCAGAACGCTGACACAAGCTTCCCTAACCAGGAAACCTTGACAAACCAATCGTCCAACCCCACCCACTGGGTGAAACCTCCACAATAAAAAGGAACCTCAGACCACAAGAATACAGAAAGCCCACTCCAGACACAGCAATCTAAACAAGATGAAAAGGCAGAGAAATACCCAACAGCTAAAGGAACATGAAAAAAGCCCACCAAGTCAAACAAAAGAGGAGGAAATAGGGAATCTACCTGAAAAAGAATTTAGAATAATGATAATAAAAATGATCCAAAATCTTGAAAACAAAATGGAGTTACAAATAAATAGCCTGGAGACAAAGATTGAGAAGATGCAAGAAATGTTTAACAAGGACCTAGAAGAAATAAAAAAAGTCAATTAAAAATTAATAATGAAATAAATGAGATCAAAAACACTCTGGAGGGAACCATGAGTAGAATAACAGAGACAGAAGATAGGATAAGTGAGTTAAAAGATAAAATGGTGGAAA